GGTTGTATACGATGCACTCCCACAGACCGGAGAAATGGCGCAAGAGCGGACTGAGTCTCATCGCCGAACATCGTCTTCGCATCGCTACACCTCGCCACCATACCCGCAAAAATAGCATCGCCAATTTTTGCTTTAGGCACCCGGTTCCATATCTTTCTGGAAACACAAAGCTCTCTAAGGAGAGTTAATCGTTTAATTTTTTTCATTATCAAATGACTAAATGATACAAAAAAAGTTTGGATAAATTTGGACCAGTAAAATTTTCTAGAAAGCCCACTTTTTTCTAAATGCAAAATTTTTCAGTCCAATAACTGTCCCACCGCTGGTGGACTAATAGCTGTTTCAAGTAACAAGCAAATGAGCGGCCAAGTATGATCCGGTTTAATCTTCCGGCTCACTCCTAGTAGCACAGCGACATTTGAAAATTTTGCCAGGATTATGAGGAAGAAGAGACTCAACTTATTAGAGTTTGCTGTTCGATGGTAAGCGTGAGCTGTTGATGCGGTAAAGGAGTAGTGGGGTCGATTCCGGAATAGCTAGCATTTTTTTACTCGCCAAATCGAGACTGCTTTTTGGCTTCGGAGAACGGCTCCTCTGCAAAAATAACATCCTGGACAGCAGTTCAAGCTGGATAACAGAATGAAGAATGAATAGAATTGTAGCCAGTTGTCAGAATAAAACAGACGTAGTGTTCGGCCATAATTGTTTTTATGGTAGACCGGACGAAACAAATAGCTGAATGATACTCGCGATACGTTACAAGAACAAGAAAAATAGGAAGGATTCAGATGTACTGAGCGCCGCGAATGTGGAAAACATATGATCGTAACCGATGGGAAAGTTACCAACTGTACAGGGAAGGATCCAAACTATGATCAAGTACTCCTGGTACTTTTCAACCACAGATGCATTCACTGCAGACTGGACGAATGGGATAGATTAATAACGCCCACTAAGCGCAAAACAACAATGGGAGTGTCATCAACACGTTCCATTAATCCACTGTGGATGTGTGGAGCAGCATAGTTTGCAAAAATTACAACACTGCAGCCGGTAGAAAAGTAATCAGGTGCATAGTTGAAAATCCTGACTATGAATTTCAGGAAATCCAGAATCCCTTTGTTAACTAGGATACGCTAACGGTTACGTCCAGAAAGAATTCCGATTTCCGTCAGTGTGAGACGACTTGGTTTAGTTTGAGAAGGATGCTAGTCTGAAAAGCCTGGGCTGCATAATTCACCCATGAAATTGAATCAGTGCTAAATGCCAACAGAAAAAAGACGAATTTTTTTATTCTGGAAAGCAAATGATCTCTTTTGTGAAAAATTTCAGCGGTCCAAGCAGCGAAATTGTCCGTGCTGGATTGACAAATTTATTGGAGGCCTCGGCCGGAAGAATTTACGATTTGGCAGTTACACCTGGCTTGTTAAAAATCAGCGCTCCGGGCCTCGTGTGCATCTAATCTGATTTCATTTCCCAACACTTCCTGAGCTCACATGTCCGTTTTATCTGCTGGAAAGAATTTTATAAATATCACAATTAACAAAATTTGTGAAAAAGTTTTGCAAGTGAATATTACTGTTATCGAAATCTGGCAAAAAAAATTTTGCAAGCGAAAAATGCGATTATCAGAATTTAGGAAAAAAATTTTATAAGCGAATTCACAATTATCAAAATCTGGGGACTACCGAAACGTAAAAACTTAAAAATCACTTGAAGCTCGTGTGCATCAAAAATGCAACAAAACAGCCTGGGCTACTTAGAACTGTAGCTGTTTGATTTTTCTCTGCGTGGTTCCTGTTCTGTAGCACATCGGCAGAGTGGCTTTATTTGTTTGCCATTTTTAAGGTAATGAAATGCTTCTCTGAGTAAAAACTACCGGATATACCAAATAGAGCTGGCGGCTAGTTTAAACTGCTTCCTGACAAACCGGGCTAGTTTATCTTATCACTGACTCGGTCACCTCGTTTCATTAAAGTACTGGCTTGTTTTTCGACACTTCTCCACTTGCTATCTTTTTTTCCAGCGTGCTTATGCTTCAATGAGAACTACTAGTTTGCAAGAAACTAAGAAAGCGAATGGATTCGGAACGGAAAAATGAATAAAAAAAGAGCAACGATTCTGACCTGTTCATGAATTGTAATGTTTGATTGGCATGGTCCGCAAATTGAGGCAACAAAAACAATATTATTCTAAGAGGATAAAAGTCTTTAACCTCCAAATATACAAAGAACCCAAGCCGGAATGCACCAGGCTTTCCAGCGCGATCATGCGTTTTTGCACCAGATATGAATTACTCAGGTAGTTAACTGCATAAATGATTGCTACTTTACACCTACCTTTTGCGTTCACTAGAGTAAATCATCGTAAATTTCACATCACGGAAAAGAACAATTTCCTTTTAGCGATCGTTTTTTGAAAGTGACCTGTTCAATGAGTAATTTTTCCGCCAAAAACTTCACGCTCCAGTACTTGAGAATCATGCATACCTGGAGATTAAGTTAGAAACATTTTAGTTGTATTTGAACAGGAAACATTCTTCTAAACTTCAGTTTTCTAGTTTTTCTGACTCCCGAGTTAGAAATTTTCCCGCCAGAAATTTCACATATTCGTACGTGAGTACTATGCGTATTGGGTATTGGATTTAAAACATTTAAATTGTGCGTGGACAGGAGCATTTCGGCCTCCAAAAAATTGCTCTATAGCTTAAAATTTGACACCTGTTTTTACTGCAACGGCAGTTATCAAGTTTTAGCTTTTGCTTTTACGGCCACCAGTCGTACTAAGGATTCTCATGAAGCGGTCTCGGCTCGAACAAATCAATTTCCCATCAAAAAAGCTCGTAAAAGCAAAGAAATAGAATGTACTTTCCATTATTACAAAGCAAAATATGTGGGCTATAAAATCACATCGATATCCGAAGATGCTTTCGCTAATCCCCACACCGATTGTCCGAACGGCCTTGGCGTTCGCGGGGTGTGCTTTAACAGTTTTGTCCGGGGGCTTTATAGCAAGAAATTGACATAAATCTCCATTATGTGGGTGGTCTTAACGCATACCGATGAGAGAAGATAATCGGGAAACCTAGGCTGGAGAGCACCAGGCGGGCCGGTGCTATTATGCATTTTCGTGACATAGCAAGATCGCAAGGAATCACAGTACTGGCGCTCGAAGTTCGGGAAGTTAATTGCGCAACTATGTGGTATATCAGTTGTAGATGCCGACTTCAGTGACCCGACAAATGGAAAGTTGCTGGTCCGCGAAAAAAGCCGCATTAGAAGAGTTAAATTTGAAATCTTTTAGTCGCACATGAGTAGGGAACATTTACTTAAAGCCTTCAGCTTTTCCCGTTCCCAACTCAGCAGTTTTCCCATCAAAATTTTCACTTGTCCGTGCTTGAATGCTGGACGGTTTTAAAGACCTGAATTTGAAATCTTTTGGTCATATATGAGTAGGGAAAATTACCCTAAAGTTTCAGCTCTCTAGCTTTTCCCGTTTCCGGGTTAGTAATTTCCGCGCCAAAACTTTAACGTGTAGCATACGTGGGTCTCGGGCTCCTCTAAACAACTGATTTTGGTTGTACGTGAGTAGGGAATATTCCCTTAAAATTTCAGCTTTCTAGCTTTTTTTGTTCCCGGGTTGGTGGTTTTCGCGCCAAAATTTCCAAGTGCCCCTACATGGGCCCCGGGCGGTCCTAAGGAGCTGAATTTGAAAACTTTTGGTCGACCGTGAGTAGGGAACATTGCCCCAAAGTTTCAACTTTTTAGCTTTTCTCATTCTCGAGTTATGAATTTTTCCGCCATAATTTATATGTGCTCGTACGTAAGCCTCGGGCTGTCCTGGGCAGCTGAATTTGAAATCTTTTTGTCATACTCGGGTG